TTTTGATTCGAATTCGATGAAATTAATGAGAGTTGGATTTAGGGTCTCAATCTGAATCTGAATCCGATAATTCGTTAACTAAATGGAGCATATATAGATATATGTCAATCTCATTTGAATATAACCTGATTTGATTTATTATATATATTATATATATATATATATAATGAATTTTGTATTGAGATTGGAAATATCTTTCTAAAATATTTCGGATCGGATTATCGATAACATAACAAATCGAATATGAATTTAACAATTAAATATCCGTTGAATTATCGAATCGGATTCATGAATTATTTTTATCGGATCAGATAAAACAAATCTTGTCCATATTCGATCCATTTACCACCCTAGTTGTAGTTATGAGATTTCTTGAATTTCACAATGCCAAAAGTTCTCCCAATTTTCGCAAAAGTTTATATCATTTTTCACCGTATTGAATTGGGATTATTATTGTTCACTGGGTATGCATGCGACTTCCAATATGGGAAGAGACGTGTGTAAGAAGCAACTCAAAAGGAAAAGCCCCATGATATACAGTGTTGAGATACATTTTTTAATATATATATATGTACATGATATTGACTTTTTGCATCCACTCCAATCCAATATGGAGAAAATGACCCAAACATTGCAAATATTGGGAAAACATTGGCTGGCAAATTTGAAAACCTTTAATTACCTTGACTCTTGAGTTCTACTTTGATATACGTACGAGCTCAACTAAAAGGTTCGTTTGAGACCCTCTTTCAGAAAAATAAATTTTATAATATTGATTTTTTTTTTAAATATGGTTAAAAAACATGAAAAAATTTTGAGTTTAAGTTTAAAATTATTTTATTAAGAAAACGCATGATTAAGAATGAGTTTGGAAAATAATGAATTTTCAACGAATGAGACTCAAATAGGGGTTAAATGTTTTTCTAATTCAAAGCTCTACTAGGAGTCTAAATAGAACATCTTTGTCATGGCCAATTTTCTCATGTGTGATTTAGCTAAAATTTAGATTTTGAGTAAATTTCGATAAAGTTGATGAGATGCGAAGTTGATAAAAGTTGTGGGTCTCATAAAATTCATGATTAAAAAAATTGAAAAAAAATGAGTTTTAGAAAATGAAGGCCGAACAAGACCTTAAGTTTGTAGAGAGAGCGTGTGGAGTTGTAATGTACGAAAATTGGTAAAAGACCTGTATTTGGGAGTGATTGTAATCTTACATTAAATTTCATAATCTCATGCAAGATCTCTACCATAGTAATCCATGTTTACCACAATAATATCCCACGTTTTACCTTCTTAAAATTAAAACTAATATCCCACTCTCTAATACGTTTATGTTCTCATGATCGTTGTAATGTGAAGTAACTCGTTTCAATGATTTATATAAAGTTATATACGTATTTTAATACGACATGAGAGATTTCTTGTGTACATATTGAATTTTGACCCCATGATTCCCTTCCAAATTCTCTATTATATGTAACCACACATTGGATCACTTCATCCCTTTTCTATTTTCTCTCCTCTCTTTGGCATTCTACTTCTTATTATTTCTTCGATAGTCTTCATTTGGTACCTTGCAAATATAACCTATTTCCAAACTTTTAATAATGGATGGTTAATATATTGTAGTTATTAAAACACAATTCCAATGCGTGATCTAGTGTTAGTATTTACAATCACGCTACACGTACACTCTCTTTTACACATTTCTTTACACTCTTTCACGTGGCAACATCTACACTCTTTATTTTAAACTCATTCATCACATCTTTGTACAGATTTCTTTCATGTATGAGGGAATGTCATTTAAGTGACAAGGAATGATGTACATCTAGCATTGTTCTAATATTTATCATTAAATACAACAAAATATGGTGTCGTGGCTCCTAGATTAATGGTGTATTGTTACGTATTTTGGTGGTTCTTGGTCTCGTAGATGTAATTTTTGTTTCAACCTTTTGTAATGGGATGTTTACAACTTCAAATAAATAATTCTCTATCTCCTAATCTCTTTGCAATTTTGGAGGTAAAATTTGTGTCTCCCTTCTCTTATAATAATTTATTTTATCAATGTAACCAAAGGTCCTTTTTTTTTAAATCAAGTTGGCCTGACCCTCAAGCTTTTTACCTTTTCGTTTCAATGTGTGAACTCATTTATCAAATTAATTTAAACCACAAGCAATTCATGGCATCATCCAAGTGGGTTAGACCCAAAATCATCTCTCTCTAAATGGTGCATGTCCTACAATTTCGTTTGCATATATTAAGAAAGAAAGAAACACAAGATTGTGTAAGAGAGAGAAAACAATAACCAAGCGAAAAAAATGGAATATGGAATTCATTCAAGAACCCCCCTCTTCTTCTGCCTCCTCTTCCTCTTCTTGTTATACACTACCATAGCTTTTAACCACACCACCCTCAGATTCCATGAAGCCTATTCCCCTCTCTTCAGTGATTTCAACATTCAGCGATCACCCGACGACAAGACCGTTCGTCTCCTCCTCAACCGTTTTTCGGGTAACATTTCATCTGGAAGCTTAAGCGCTTAGAGACAAGCCACATCCCCCCGCTCCCAATAAATTCATATGTATTTATGCATGTATGTTGATGTTGAAAAAAGGCGAATTCTCCCTAGATACATCTATTCAATTCTGAATTTCTTTCGAATATATGAATTATGCTAAAGATTCAAAATCTATTTTCATCTTAATGAAAAATAATTTGTCAGTTTGAAAAATTCTGTTGGAAAATCATGGCGGAATTTTTGTAAACGTGTTTTTCTTTTCTTTTCTTAGGGTGTGTAAGAATATGTATATATATATATAGATATTAAAAAGTGTATATATATTTTGGCTATTGAATTTATGAAAATTTCTATAATATTTTGTTCAGGTTCTGGAATTATATCATCAGATTATTACAACTATGGTTTCTTCAGTGCAAGCATCAAGTTACCAGCAGAAAATACCGCTGGCGTTGTCGTTGCATTTTATGTAAGTACAATAAATACATACATATATATTGTTTAATATATATTTCCTTTTTTTTTTTTTAAATTCTTTATGATTATGTATAATGTATCAATATGTTTGCATGTATGAATCTTGCATGTGGAAAATTAAGCAAATTAGGTTTCTCCCCCATTTTATCTCTGCACTAAACCTAGTTAAAAAGCAAAAAAAAAAAAAGAGAGAGAGAAAATGTATGTCTAGATGGTTAATGATTGAGTCAAAGTTTTGGTGCAGACATCAAATGTAGACACATATGAAAGGAACCACGATGAATTAGACATCGAGTTTATGGGTAACGTAAAGGGGAAACCTTGGAGGTTCCAAACAAACATGTATGGCAATGGAAGCACATCTCATGGAAGGGAGGAGAGGTATCGATTATGGTTTGATCCGAGCAAGGATTCTCATCGCTACAGCATTCTTTGGACCCCTAAGAACACCATGTAAGTTGCTTATCTTGAAACCCCTTATACTTAATTTGCCTTATGATTTAATTTCCACTTTTTTATCCTTGAAATCTTGGTATATAATTCCTTAGCCTAAACTTACTATTCTTAGCTCCACACTACATTTGATATGTGAGTCTAGTGCTCAATGATCATAATCTATTAACTTGATCCTTATTGATCATGAAAATTCAAATTAGGTAGTAACTTCTGAAGGGTTAATGTAATATTTCATTGAAATAAGGGACTTCGACGACGGATTCTCTCGTCGCCCAAAAAAAAAAATCCACTTAAGGGCAAGCGATGAAAAATTTATATTAGTACGCGATACCTTGATAGCTAAAGTTATCCCTGAAATGGAGAAATATTATAGCATGATTTACACAAGGTCCACCTATGGAAATGAAGGGCTAGTTTTCAAGTTTCTGCATATGTTAGATTGCCCATTTGTAGCCTAGCTAATTCTGGCTTTCTAATTAAGAAAATAAAAAATTTATTAGTTTATGTATTCATGAAAAGGTGCAGAAGCCACTTGATTTTGTCAGATGGTCGATTAATTAAAGCTTTCAAGGAACACATTTTTCTGTTTCGCTTGAATCTTTGCCATATTCACAAATACAAAAATAAGTTCAACAAAAGTAGAATAAAAGTTTTCTTTTCAACAAGTAATTTTGCCCATCAAAGGCTGCAAGAAAACTGATTGAGAACCGTTTCTTCAATAGGTAGTCCCCCCACTCTTTGACAACACTGAAATCCAATTGGTCGTTCAAGCGTTAGACACATCGATTTGCTAATTTCAGCGTGTCAGGCTTTGAAATCATGTTTAGTTTTGGAATTTTATTTTAAGATGTTGACTTTATTAAGAGTTGTACAAGCACTTATACGTGGTTTATTTATGTCATTCTTAATTGACTGGGGATTTACTCTTACAAATTTTCCATTTGTACAGAAATGGATTTGCCAGAACACTCACATGGGAGTGGGTCTCATGTGAGTGAAATATTGCCAAAAAAAGGATCTCGCCTGTGTGTATGTTCTGTTGCATTTCTATATGTGTGTGTTCTGTACACAGCAAAACTCTCTCTTAAAACAAAGAAGTAAAACTTTTCCCTTTACATTCTTTGCCCCTCTTTGGCTCCGATTTTTTTTTTTAAAAAAAAAAAATCATTTTTTCTCAAATTTTCAGCTACACATTTTATCAATTTTTATTATAATCTATTAAAAATATAATTTTTAGCTAAACGGCTTCATGTGACCTAGTAAAAGTTACTGCTTTCTATTTCTGCTGTGATTCTTTGGTTAATTCTTTGTGCATGATACCTAATCCACTTAAACCTAATCCTAGAAATATGGTCTTTCTACGGCTTCTATTATTTGTTCCAGTATTTCTGTCTCAATTATACTCCTTTTATGATCCTCACAACGAATACATAATACATTTCAGATTTTACGTGGACGAAATTCCGATAAGGGAAATAGTTCGTAACGCAGCTATGGCTGGGGACTATCCATCAAAGCCAATGTCATTATATGCCACTATATGGGATGCTTCAACTTGGGCCACAAATGGTGGCAAAGAGAAAGTAGATTACAAATATGAGCCCTTTGTGTCTGAATTCACAAACCTCGTACTTGAAGGTTGCATTGTCGATCCCACTGAGCAAATTTCATCAACAAACTGCACTGACAGAATTGCAAGTTTACTTGTTAAAGAATACTCTACTATTACATCTGAGGGTCGAAAATCGATGAAATGGTTTCGTGAAAAGTACATGTATTACTCGAGTTGTTATGATAGTATAAGGTATCCGGTGCCACCGCCAGAATGTGTGGTGGTGCCTTCAGAAAGGGAGATGTTTCAGAATAGTGGGAGGCTCAGGGAAAAGATGAAATTTGGTGGTAATCACAGGAGGCACCGCCGCGGTCAGAGATCCCGGCGGCCAAGAAAAGTGGAAGTGACTGGCCAAGTAGCTGCTTTGTAAAGTGGCCAAGAAAGTGCTGCTTGTGCAATTTATGTATATTGTGTGAAGTTATGCTGAAATTGATCCTATACTACTTGTGGCTAAGAGATTTATGCTTATTTTCCTTCAATTTTTTCTACTTCTAGTTATTTTTTATTGTAGTAATTTTTGTCTCTATGTTATGAATTTTAGATCGCAAGATAATGAAATAAATAAGAAAAAAATAAACACCAAGATTTA